ATGTCGAAGGCCTGGTTGAGCTCCAGGGGGAGAGTCCGTCGTAGGCCTTCAACTTGACATTGGTGGCCATCCACCATTCTCTGCAGTAGCTGGCTCGAATGGCCGCGGCGTGGCTCAGAGGGTGCTGGTCAGGGTCCAAGGTCTAAGCCAACTGCGGGTCGGTCCCAGCCGAACTCAAGCCTAGCGTAGCAGCCCCATGTCGTCTCATCTGCTCGATCTCCCCAGGGGGCCAGCCCGGGATCTCCTCCCCGTAGGTGAGTCCAGGTTTGGTCCCGCACAAGTAGAGCTTGGCTTTCTTGGCTTCGGGCCCTGCAAGGGCCGACATCTTGATCGGTCGGCCCCTGGCTTTTGCCAATCTGACTTTCCTTCTCTTCATGACCAGGGGCTGCGCGCGATTTGATCCGTGCGTGAAATCGCACCCCGGGTTGATGATGACAGGCTCGCCGCCCTCGGGTCCTGCGTAGATGCCCAGCCTCGAGGCCGCGCATCTCAAGGGCCTCTCAGAGTTGCCTGTTATGTTCAACTTGTCCACGGCGAAAGGCAAGCATAGTTCGTTGGCGAACCTGTCCACCAAAATGGCAAGGGCTCCTCGCATCTGGGGCCGATCAAGTGCGGGAGTGAATGGTTACTGTGATTGAATCCGAAATCATCGGTGTGTAGGTCCAGCGAGGGGCCCCAGTCTTGTGCGGCAGACTCCGGAACTGCAAACATCATGTGGCACTTAATCTCGAAGGTCGCCGTGCTGGGGCCCGCCACAATCCCCTGCCACGGACGAATCAAGGGCGAGGCCTGGCCAGCCAAAAGAAGAGCGCGCGGCCACTGGTGCGAGGCTAGGGCGTATTGAAATACAAATAGCGGGTGCTCGAAGCCGGCTGCGGCCTCTGCGAGTCCCATGTGGCGTGCGTGCTCATGCCGCTGTTTCAGATCACCTATCGCGCTGAGGATGTGCCTCTTACTGAGATGCGCAGTGTCGCCCCTGATGGACTGCCTCCGATCTCCATCCGCTGTGTGCCTGTGTGGTGCCATGTTGAATGCGCCATGCTTCTGTGCTGTCTGCTCCCACCCTTATAGTGCATGTGCGTTCCACTTAGATAGAAGCCTATGGGCCAAGCCTTTCTTCGGCTTGGCGAAAAGCGAAACGTTCGGGGTCTGCATCCAGGACGGTAGGTTGCCGCACAAGCGGCTCGACACGGCAATCTTGCTGAGCATCATCGGGCCTCCGTCCGGGATTGCGGCGAAGTGACGCGGGTGGAATCCGTCGATATCGATCACGTCTGTATCGATGGAGATGGAGAGGTCTCTGATCTCGGCCACCGCAGGCGCCCTCGGAGTCGGGATCGACGGCCAGAGCAGCGGCGTGGGCATCCTGACGTCCTGGGCTTTCCATGCCGCAGACCACTCCTGGACCTGGTTCGCAAGGGCAGCTATCGGGCATGCCGTAGGTGGCGCATCTTCACAGGTGTGAAAAAAAAACCTGCTCATTCATCTCCTCCGCAATCTTCGTAAAAAACATGGGCCCATATGGCCCTTCCTTCTAATGCTTGTGCGCACCACTTGTTCCCGCTCTCGCAAGCCTCCCGCTTCTCCCTGGGCAGATGGTGTTGTGCAGTCTCCCCCGCCTCGGCCCCCGGGGCCTCCCGGCCCCCGATGAGCTCTTCGTGGCTGAGGTCAACATCGAGACCCACCTGTCGAGCTTGCGCCCCCAGTATGGGCCTCCTTCCCCGATATGGAAGTGGGGCGGTCAGTGGGTGCCCTTCGCTGCGCGCTGGAGGGCCCGAAACAACTGCTTGCGGTAGTTCCCCCCCCGAGCCCTGCCAGCTCGGACGAGTGAAACCGCTTCGCGGCAACGATGGCGAAGCAAACTGGCGCGCGATGTCCAGACCTACAATGGCGCTGCTGCGTGACAGGTAGCTGAGGTAAAGGAACTGCTTTGAACGTGTGTTCTGAACCTCCTGTGGCCCCATGCTCTGGACAACTCTGAAATGCATCTTGGAGTGCCCCCCGTGCCGTATGATGCCAGCCCATTGGCGGCCTCGTCCAGAACCTCCCGGGCCTTCTGGCGCCCAAGATCTGTGTTCGGTGTCGCGTGCTCCTCCCCGTTCGGCCCCGCGAAATCATCCGAAATCGCATCTATGGGGTCCCCGATATAACCGTGCTCTGGTGCTCTGGGTCGGGGGCCTACAGGAAGAACGGCAGGGGGCTTCCGTCGATGCGCCAGGCACGTGACCTTCTGCCCCCCAGGGTCTGCCCAGAGCCGCAGGGGCACAGGGCGTAGTTGGCCAGGTGCGCCTCCAGGTCCGTGATGGAGTCCCTAATCGCATGCTGCAGGGCGTACGGGACAAAGAAAAAGTCGTCGCGCCTCAAAGGGCTACCTGGAACGCGCGTGACTGCAGGCCCTGGAATGGTAACTTTACATTTCTACTCTTTCTGGGAGGGAGAACGGTCTCGAGGATGTGTGGCTCCAAATTGTGGCCCCCGCCTGAGATGATAGGGGGGGGGGGGGGGCGCGAGAGGAGATGTGGTTTCCCAGAGCCCGAGCAATAGCAATGTTCTCGCCGTTCAGCCCAACGCGCCGAGGTGTTTGAAACGATCTAAAATGTTGATCACTCGATGCGGCCATGCACGGGACCCACTGGGCTGCCATGCGTCCAAGTGGCCTCGGTCCAAAACCGCAGCTCCAGCTGGCATCCCACGGCCCGTGTCATGGCCTTCCCCCCAATAACGAGCGCCAACCTGATCGAAGAAGGGAAGCTTGAACTTCGGGAAGTTGCTGCCCCTGACGTTTGTGCTCCTGCACAAGTCTGATCTGTGCCGAGCTCTCCTTGATGATGCGCTTGGCCGAGCCCTGGGCCGGGCCATCCACTGTCAAAATTTGGGGCCCCTCGCGGACTGGTGGCCCCTTGGCTTGGACTGGTACTTCCTCATCTCCTGGGGTGCCTAGTCACCTTGCCGTCGGCGAGGCTCCTGTGGCACCGTTCTCGCGGCTGCGGCTGCGGCCGCGCGCATCTCCATCGTCGGTGCCGTCGATGGCCTCTGCGCCGATCCCCTTGTCTGGGGCCCCCTTGCCCTGCCCGCCGCCGCCTGCGCCGCTGCCCGCTGGGGCTGCGCGCCTGGCGGGGGCTGGGGGCGCCTCTCCAGGCGTCGGGCCTGGGGCTGCTGGCGAGGTCGGCGCCGCCGCCGTCTGCGCCGAGGCGTGGGTCTGGACCTGCTGGACGGTGGTTACCAGCGCCTGCATGGGTCCCCGCAGGGCCTGGTGCTCCGTCCCCGACAACCTCGACTGTAACATGGTGAGCTCTCCCATGAGCGACTCGATCGATCCTTGGGGCTGTGGGGCGGTGGTTGCCGTCGGGGTCGGAGCTGGCGCCAGCTCCGAAACGACCGTGACCTGCTCCGCGATCTTGGTCTGGCGCTCTGCTATGTGGGCCTCCTACTCTTCGATCATATCTCGCATGGTCTGGATGGTATAATCCAGCTCCTTGATCTGATCCTGGATGTCCTGGGTGTTCTGAGTGTGCTTGCTCATCGCCGACTGCGCCTTCAACAGCTTCTGGTTGGCCACCATGAGTAGCTGGCCAGGCGTCTTCTGGGTGTCGCGCTCCTGTCTGAGGTGATCGATGGCCTCCTCCACTTTCTGCTTGGCGATGGCACTCCCTGCTGTATCTGAGGTCTTGCCCAGCGCGTCCAGGAGGTACTGGCACCTCGTGATCTGGGTACCAAGGTTGGCCGTCGTACTCCATGGTGGTGATGGTGCCGCCCCCTGCATCGGATCTTCACCTGGTGGTGGGGGAGGCACCTTAACGGGTATCTGCCAGTGGACACCACACACCCTACAGTAGCCCAGCCTGAGGTGGTTGTCCGCTTGACACTTCATACACGTCCAGCTTTGGCACGAAGGCGGTGACCGCGGCGCCTCCTGCTTCGACAGGTGCTTCTTGCCAACCGTATTCTCGCTGCCGTTGCCCTTGCCCTTTGTCGCACCCTTTT